AAAAAGAGAGAGAAGGCGGAGGAGAAGGAGAAGGAGAAGAAGGAGGAGGAAGAGGAGGACGGAAAGGAAGAGGAAAAAAGATAGAAGGAGGAGGAGGAGGAGGAAGAGGAGAAGGAGGAAGAAAAGGAAGAAGAAAAAATGAGAGAAGGAGGAGGAGGAGGAAGAAGAGGAGGAGAAGGAGGAAGAGGAGAAAGACTGGGGCAGATTGTTACTGATGACGATGGTGCTGTTGCTACTGATAATGAAGAAATGGAGGATGAAGAGAGACACAGAGAGAAAAAACAGACAAAACAATCAAAGCTCAAAAAAAGAAAAAAGAAAAAGAAATAAAAAATATATATATATAGATAAAAAAAACGCCAATCATACTGAACAAGAAACGAACTCCTACACCCTCTTTTACCCCTAAAAAAAATGATACCAATAAAAAAAAAATATATCAAAAACAAAACAAAACAAAACAAAAAATAGTAATAAAAAAATGAAAAATACACAAAATAAATAACAATAACAACAACAAAAAAAACTCCGCGACTCACCTAGCATGCCTTCTCGATCGACCTTAAGCCGTGCTACCCCGAACACCACATCGGCATTGGCATCGTAGGAATCCACCGTGAACTGCCAGTAGTGCCGCCCGCGTGAGAAGCCGACGGAGGCGAGGGCCACGCGGTGTTCGTAGCTCTCACACGTCACGCCCGCGCCGCCCGCGATCAGCCGGCATTCCGGGTGAGAGAGCGTGCGGTCCAGGGAAAACCAGGCGGCTGTTTGGAGGGGGGGGGGGGGGGAGAAGATGAGGGGGTGAGATATATATGGGGGTAATGGTGTAGGGCTGGGGGGGTAGGGATGGGGGAGGGTTATGGGGGAGATGGGGGAGAGAGGGGGGGACATGGGTGTTATGGGGGAGAGAGGGGGGGACATGGGTGTTATGGGGGAGAGAGGGGGGGACATGGGTGTTATGGGGGAGAGAGGGGGGGACATGGGTGTTATGGGGGAGAGAGGGGGGGACATGGGTGTTATGGGGGAGAGAGGGGGGGACATGGGTGTTATGGGGGAGAGAGGGGGGGACATGGGTGTTATGGGGGAGAGAGGGGGGGACATGGGTGTTATGGGGGAGAGAGGGGGGGACATGGGTGTTATGGGGGAGAGAGGGGGGGGACATGGGTGTTATGGGGGAGAGAGGGGGGGACATGGGTGTTATGGGGGAGAGAGGGGGGGACATGGGTGTTATGGGGGAGAGAGGGGGGGACATGGGTGTTATGGGGGAGAGAGGGGGGGACATGGGTGTTATGGGGGAGAGAGGGGGGGACATGGGTGTTATGGGGGAGAGAGGGGGGGACATGGGTGTTATGGGGGAGAGAGGGGGGGACATGGGTGTTATGGGGGAGAGAGGGGGGGACATGGGTGTTATGGGGGAGAGAGGGGGGGACATGGGTGTTATGGGGGAGAGAGGGGGGGACATGGGTGTTATGGGGGAGAGAGGGGGGGACATGGGTGTTATGGGGGAGAGAGGGGGGGACATGGGTGTTATGGGGGAGAGAGGGGGGGACATGGGTGTTATGGGGGAGAGAGGGGGGGACATGGGTGTTATGGGGGAGAGAGGGGGGGGACATGGGTGTTATGGGGGAGAGAGGGGGGGACATGGGTGTTATGGGGGAGAGAGGGGGGGACATGGGTGTTATGGGGGAGAGAGGGGGGGACATGGGTGTTATGGGGGAGAGAGGGGGGGACATGGGTGTTATGGGGGAGAGAGGGGGGGACATGGGTGTTATGGGGGAGAGAGGGGGGGACATGGGTGTTATGGGGGAGAGAGGGGGGGACATGGGTGTTATGGGGGAGAGAGGGGGGGACATGGGTGTTATGGGGGAGAGAGGGGGGGACATGGGTGTTATGGGGGAGAGAGGGGGGGACATGGGTGTTATGGGGGAGAGAGGGGGGGACATGGGTGTTATGGGGGAGAGAGGGGGGGACATGGGTGTTATGGGGGAGAGAGGGGGGGACATGGGTGTTATGGGGGAGAGAGGGGGGGACATGGGTGTTATGGGGGAGAGAGGGGGGGACATGGGTGTTATGGGGGAGAGAGGGGGGGACATGGGTGTTATGGGGGAGAGAGGGGGGGACATGGGTGTTATGGGGGAGAGAGGGGGGGACATGGGTGTTATGGGGGAGAGAGGGGGGGACATGGGTGTTATGGGGGAGAGAGGGGGGGACATGGGTGTTATGGGGGAGAGAGGGGGGGACATGGGTGTTATGGGGGAGAGAGGGGGGGACATGGGTGTTATGGGGGAGAGAGGGGGGGACATGGGTGTTATGGGGGAGAGAGGGGGGGACATGGGTGTTATGGGGGAGAGAGGGGGGGACATGGGTGTTATGGGGGAGAGAGGGGGGGACATGGGTGTTATGGGGGAGAGAGGGGGGGACATGGGTGTTATGGGGGAGAGAGGGGGGGACATGGGTGTTATGGGGGAGAGAGGGGGGGACATGGGTGTTATGGGGGAGA